TGGGGGGGGGGGGGGGGGGGGGGGGGGCCCGGGGGGGAGTCACGTTATTTTCGCGCACCTGCACCAAAGTAAAACGGCGGACATTCAAAACAAAAGTTGTTTTTTCATTTAGGCACAAAGAGAACGAGGAAACATGAGAGACGAGGTTTTCAATGAAAAAAAAATGACTCACAACATGAAGAGAAAGAAAAAAACACGTCAGAAAACACGCTGTCACTACAGGAGAAAGAAAGAAGAAGAAGAAGAAAAAGAAGAAAGAAAAGAAGGAAACGACTGCAGTGATGGAGTCACCTGTCAGGAGCCTCAGTCTCGGCTTTCAATCATAGTCGTCAGTTTTAAGCAGGAGCCAAACTTCACCTCCAGACCGAGAATCTCTGGAGACTTTTCCTCATTGGTCATGAAAAATATACTAATAAAAAGAATCAAAACCAAACAAATCCAGGTCAGCTGTGTGTGAGGAGTTCGTGTTCTCCCTGCAGCTGACTTCAGTCCGACTTCAGTCCGACTTCAGTCCGACTCTGAGCCGCGGCTCTGCGGCTCTAACACGTGAAGACCGGCCCGGTGACAGACCTCCACCAGCGGAAACACCGTGAGCTCTGCCGAGCTCCTCTCTCATCCACGCTCCTCAGCAGCCGCCGGGGAGCTCCTCCTCCAGCTCCTCCTCCAGCTCCTCCTCTCCTGACTCCGTGGAGGAGGCTCCTCCTCCTCCTCCTCCTCCTCCTCCTCTCAGGTGAGACACAGACGCCAATTAGTGTCGGGTTTTTTCTTCTTCTTCTTCTCTGCTGTAATTAGAGCAGAACAGCTGAAGAACATGTTTCCACCTGACTCTGCTCCTCACACTGGACCTGGAGGTCCTGGACCTGGAGGTCCTGGACCTGGAGGTCCTGGACCTGGAGCCCGGGTCCACACTCTGTCTGTGTCTGTGTGTGTGTGCCTTCACCATGAATCACATCACACACACTCTTGTCCCACTTCCTGTACAGATCCTGATACAGATGGGAGTTCATCTGCTGAGGAGACACCACTGACTTTATATGAACACGTGCACACTCACGTGCACGGACCTGTATATCCTGACATTTGATGGTTTAATGCACAGCAAAGAGACAAAGAGACAAAAAGCCAGACACCAACACCAGGAGGTTTTGGTTCTGATTTCATTTCTCCTGTTTTTATAACTTTAATCTTTGGTCGATCCAGGTTTAAAGTTTACACAAATCACTGATCTGGACAGAAGACGTCTGTCCAGATCTGTCAACAGTTTTGTCGTGGACAGTGTGATGTCATCACCGTCACGGCACTGTTTCAGACATCGAACGTTAAATGTTCAAAAACTCTTAAATATTGTTAAATATTCATGAACATTTTTTTTGTTTTGTTTTATGTACAGTGTCCTTGGGTGACTTGAAAGGCACTTTTAAATAAAATGTATTATTATTATTATTATTATTAAATGAAGAACTTGATGTGGTTCACACATTAAAACGGTTCAGTAACGGTTCAGTAACGGTTCAGTAACGGTTCAGTAACGGTTCAGTAACGGTTCAGTAACGGTTCAGTAACGGTTCAGTAACGGTTCAGTAACGGTTCAGTAACG